ATTTAGAGCACCTTAGCAACAACTCCCATAGACTTCCATTGAAAGAGATCGAAGGGATATATCTGGACTGAATTGTCATAGAAACATGAGGGTGGTCTCGTTTGACTCGGGGCAGCAAACAGCCAATCATGAATCACCTCAACACTTCCTAGCCACGCCCTAGCAACCATTGTCGAGCACCTTAGCAACCAAAATCCAAAGAGGGATATCTTCCATTCTGAATGTCACAGAGGCATGGGAGTTGGTTTATATCATTCATACTGACAAGCAGCCTTTGAAGTTTCATGATTGGCAGCTGCCAAGCCAGTCCCTAGCAACAAAACAGAGTACCCTAGCAACCGTTTTGCAAGACCAATATCTCTGCATCAGAACATCGTATAGAGATGGGGGTTGGTTTATACATTCACATTGACTTTGGAGCTTCATGATTGGCAGCTGCCAAGCCACTCCCTAGCAACCAAACAGAGTACCCTAGCAACCGTTTTGCAAGACCAATATCTCTGCATCAGAACATCGTATAGAGATGGGGGTTGGCTCTTTTGACTCATGCTAGCAAACAGGACTTGCTACATGCTACACATGCTAGCAGTGAATAGCTACATGCTAATATTGATTAGCTAAGTGCTAAATCATGCCAATAAAATGCTACAAACTCAATAGTAACCATCTTTGACGACTACCAACCACCTAGTAACACCATAGCAACCACCTAGATTAACCTAGCAACACCCTAGCAACCACCCAGAACACCCTAGCAACTGCCTAGCAACACCCTTGCAACCACCCAGAACACCCTAGCAACCGCCTAGTAACCACCCAGGATACCCTAGCAACCACCTAGCAACGCCCTAGCAACCACCCAGATTACCCTAGCAACCGCCTAGCAACCACCCAGAACACCCTAGCAACTGCCTAGCAACCACCCAGAACACCCAAGCAACCTCCTAGCAACCGCCCAGGATACCCTAGCAACTGCCTAGCAACGCCCTAGCAACCACTCAGAACACCCTAGCAACCACCTAGCAACACCCTAGCAACCACCCAGAACACCCTAGCAATCGCCTAGCAACACCATAGCAACCACCCAGAATACCCTAGCAACCGCCTAGCAACACCCTAGCAACCACTCAGAACACCCTAGCAACCGCCTAGCAACACCCTAGCAACCACCCAGATTACCCTAGCAACCGCCTAGCAACCACCCAGAACACCCTAGCAACTGCCTAGCAACCACCCAGAACACCCAAGCAACCTCCTAGCAACCGCCCAGGATACCCTAGCAACTGCCTAGCAACGCCCTAGCAACCACTCAGAACACCCTAGCAACCACCTAGCAACACCCTAGCAACCACCCAGAACACCCTAGCAATCGCCTAGCAACACCATAGCAACCACCCAGAATACCCTAGCAACCGCCTAGCAACACCCTAGCAACCACTCAGAACACCCTAGCAACCGCCTAGCAACACCCTAGCAACCACCCAGAACACCCTAGCAACCAACTAGCAACACCCTAGCAACGCCCTAGCAACCACCCAGAACACCCTAGCAACCACCCAGAACAGCCTAGCAACCGCCTAGCAAAACCCTAGCAACCACCCACAATACCCTAGCAACCAACCAGAACACCCTAGCAACCACCCAGAACACCCTAGCAACCACTCAGAACACCCTAGCAACCACCTAGCAACCACCTATCAACGCCCTAGCAACCACCTAGATTACCCTAGCAACACCCTAGCAACTGCCTAGCAACCACCCAGAACACCCTTGCAACTGCCCTGCATCATCATAGCAAACTCCAAGAACACCCTATGTGCAAGTGGATGTGTTTCGTTGTTTAAACACCTTCAAAGTTGAGCTGTGTGTGCGATGGGCGGCGCCATGTTAGTTTACAACACGTCATTTCCTCAACTTCTCACGAAATACATGAAAGTAAGTGGCCGGTGAAATGGGAGAAGAATAGGGTAAAATGTAAAGCTACTTACACAATGTGTATGAATAATTAAACTGAATGAATAAAACGTGTCGTCTTTTTATAATGGAAAGGATTATTATTGCCGCTTCCATAGACATCAGTGTGTGTATTTTACAAACTGAAAATAATTTATTTTGCTGGTACTTATGTGTATTTAAATGTCTGAAACCTAAAATACACATTATGTGGTTGAAAACACAGTTGTGATATATGACAGCAATGTTTCGGGCACAGCTACTTCACTTCATTTCGTTCACTTCTTGCAGATATAGTGCACCCAGATCATGCCATAACGTTACATATACTTAGTGGATTAACGTTAGTGAATGAGCGAAGGGAGTGGTTTCGGACACATTCGAGACAACTCGGTATTCCCGAGTCATATTAAAGATTTGTTCACAATGAAGGAATCGTTCATGACCGATTCATCACTACAAGGTGTGATTTTATTGGTTGTACAATCAAAGCTCGCTGCTGATTGGCTGCAAGTTCAACTCTTCACGGGAGCCGAACTGATGAACTTCCCGCATTATTCTCTTCTGAGGTAAGTGGAGGTGGTCGATTTCATATATGCTGTTTTATAAAGCCTTGTATTGTCAAATGCAGCTCTTTGTAGGTAATTTTATTCGTATTATCATATGAGTTGTAGTTAATATTGTTTTTGTTTACACTGAAGCTACCTTTTTCTCTTTAAAGAGGGTAATAATGTATGATAAGTTATGACTACAGCTAGCCACACTTCTATTTTTGTGTGAAAACGTAACATGATATTTTGTGTGTGTCTGATGGATATTACTCTCTTAGATTTTTTGCTGTTTGTGTAGCTTATATTAGCTTAATCGCTGTGTGACGAGTTAATTTTGGCGCTTATTTTAAGCTAACTACAGCATCACTAGTAGCTTATTTGGTGATGTTGTACAAGTTAATTGTATACCTATGGTACTCGCTGTTGTATTTTACATTCATGCATAGATATTTGAATGAAAATTGTCGACTGATGCTGGTCGCTTCATGTCAATCAAAGGCAGCGTCGAAGTTTCCGCATCTAATCAAATGTGGTTAACAGTCACGGTGAAGAAATCCGGTGAGAACCGATTCCAGTGTACGGTCACTGACAGAATTCTCTTATCATAAACAACAATGTGCAAAAATAGTGTGTTGTAAGAAATTCATTTTGCTCTGTAGTTGGCTTTATTTAATATAACGGGAGTTCCATGAGTGTTTTACTGGTATTACTCGTGAGTTAACTGAGGGAACCGTGCTTTTGCGCCTTGCGGTCACGTGGCTGATGTTACACAAATCCGCGCTGACAATCTGTTAGATTGGGTTCAAGTAGGATAGAGACGGCAGCGTCACTATTTGCAGTGATTCTTGGTAAATATTAACGCATGATGTGACGCATAACGCATCGATTACTACGTTGACGACCTTCACAGTATTTTGAGGAGTGATGGAGACGGAACATTACTATGTTTTTCTTGTGTTTAACCCTCAGACATTACTTATAGATTATGCGTCAGACTCAAAACTGACCAAACACCTTAAGTGTATCTTTTATCAATTAAAAATAAATTCACTATATTTTAGTTCAGTTATATTTAGAATGTATTTTATGGTACTAAAGAATTATGATAATGTCGATTGATTCATTACATCAACGTTCATGTCACTCAAATCATGCGTTGAGCCAATCACATGCGTTTCTGCTGAGTTTAAAAAATGCAACGTCCAATCAAAGGCGGTTAGATCAGTCAAGTGAAGAATTCCGGTGAGAACTGATTTCAGTGCGCGCTCACTGACAGAATTATCTAATCATAAACCACAAAGTGGAAATATAATGTAAGAAATTCATTTTACACTGTAGAGCGCTTTATTCATGTTTTTTTCCTGTATTGAAATTATTTTATTTTCCTTATAAAAGCCTTATTTGATGATTGGTGATCACTTATGGTGATTTCATCTAGATGACTGCTGCGCATGTCTCTGTGCACTGAGAGAACGAGCAGAGGGAGAGAGAGAGCCTCGGCCGCGCGCGCGCTCCTGCCGTCTTCAAAGCGCTGCCTTGCTCTCTCTCTCCCTCGCGCAATTAATCAAAATCAAATGACGCGATGGTAAAAGGTCGGATATTTATATAAGGTTATTTATGACAATATGTAGATTTTTCTAGAAAATTACTAAAAATGTAGAAATTACCCAAAAAATCATTTAGTTTAGACTGGAGTGAGTTGAAAATGTTCAGCAATGAAAGTTCAAGTTAAATGGGTTGTGAGTGTGATGATGAGTTTTATGACACTATTGTTTCTCTGTTTCAGAATACTGTTTTCATTCCATACTGCATTTTGAGGTAAAGGTTTAATTTAGGGACATGGCCACATACAAAAACTTTAAAATATGATTAGGATCATAGAAGCTATTAAAAAAACTGTTTTATTTATGCAACAAATAATTAATTACCCATCCATTGTCCAAACCACTTGTCCTATATAGTAAACCTGGATGGATGGCCAGTCCATCACAGGTTTTAGGCCACATATTTTACAGAAACTCTGCTTCTTGAAAATATGAGAGAATGTCAAGAAAAAACATTATTCCTATACATTCCTAAATTATATTCTACATATAGATAAAAATAATGAATATAGAACATGCAAAGAAGTTATGCATAGTTGACTCAAGTTTAGTAATTTTTCATTATGTTGTCATTGTTGTTTTTTCAGACTGACTGATCAGACCTGCATTTTCTGCTGCACTTTTCTCCTTGGTTAGTGTTAATGTTAATATGGTTTCTTAATCTTTACCATGACATTTTCATCACATCACCATAATTGTAGTCCCTGTGCTCTAATATGTCTGGTTCTGTTTTGTTTCTTTACAGGTTCCTTGTGTTTTGGCGTTTTCCACAGAGAGCAGTTCATTTCATTTCTTACCCCCACCCCCCCAAAAAAAAAAAAAAAAAAAAAAACATTTTACAAGTTTACACAGTGTCTCTTTCATTGTTGTTTAACTGTTTGTTTTTCTTCCTGAGTACTACAGGTTTTATCTTTTCAGGCTCAACAGCTGTGACACCAGGCGAACTTTCAAAGTATGTGCATATCAAAGGGAGAATGTCCTTTTAAAATTATTTTGACTAGCAATTAAGTGTATTTTATTAATGTATTACTTTGAAGTAAAAGTAAAATCTCTACTTTTAAAAGTTATTCACACAAATTTGTGAGTTAGTCAGATATATTTGACAAAAAATATATTTTTTTCTTTTTATCTCTTCATATTTTAAAGGATGCCGCGGAGAGGAAAGAGATCACAGGCTCAAAAAATTCGTTGGAGGAAGTTCGACCTGGAGGATGAACAGACCAGACCCTCCAGGATTAACCAGGTACTATTGATATCTGTGTCTTGCAACATGCTCATTTCAGGGCACCCTTACGGCCGTTTCACACCGCAAGCATGAGCAGCACGTCAGCACAACTACGTCGTCACCGCAGCTGCAGACGCGTGCGAGTATTAACACTGGAAGCGTTTGTACAGCGTCACAACAGCGGCTCCCAGGCTACATATAAGCAAGCATTTCTTTACAAAGACTTTTGTTAAATTTGTTTTTAGAAGTTGGTCATAAACACATTTGAAGTTTGTTCAAAGCCCAAACTGAATAATTAAAAACAAGTTTAATGGGTAGGCCTACATTTTCTATAAAATTGTATTTTCTTTATGCTAGTCTTCATTTCCTTTTCTGACATAGGCCTACTGCAGTTCTTGTTAAAACACACTAGACATGCAAATTCTGTGCGTTTTGGGCACTTTTTATGTGAAATATTAATTTTGTCCATCAAAAGTGTGCTTCACTTTAATTGAGCGTGAGCAGCGCAGCAAAAATAGACTCCAAGCCGAAACCCCCGCTTCACTGCTGCTCACTTCATTTTTCCAGTCATACATTTCGTCAAAGATTTTTTTTTAAATAGTGTTAAAATATCATCTGATCTTGTTCTTTAAAGATTTCTTAACAATAGTGTTAAAATATCATCTAATCTTGTTCACGTGAACCCATATGTATCGGCAAGTGTTAGATAAGTGTATAATAAAACGCAATTTTCAAACAACAATTTTTGCATTTGTCTTTTGTGCACACTTACTGTGTACAAATGCCCCTTTTCTTTAGTTTTTTAGTTACGTTTTTTTTTTTTTTTAACTGTTTAGTAAAAATGCCTTTGTCCCAAACAGTATGAAGTGCAATTTAAAATTTAACACAGATTCTGTAACACTAATTGTGACTTAATTTCATGAATGATTATTTACAGGTTGAACAGGCAAGCACCAGTGCAGCTGTAGCTCAGTTCTCAGGTAGAACGTATGCAGAAGGGGGTGATATCGCACCCAGGGTTGTGTCTGTGCAGGCATCTCATTGTCAGGGTGATGTTAGGTATGACAGTTTCTCTAGAAATCACCAGTGCACGTGTGTAGCGTTGACATTTTTGGCAAACCAGAGTGAAGGTATTGCGTTCAAGATGCCTGACCTTGATAGAGTTTTAGAGGAGGGAGATGCGTTATTTGTCGGCATTAAATTGCAGCTTATTGCTGAAGGACGGTTTAAATTCAACCACCTGACCATGGAGGAAGTACCGTTGAGGGTTTCATCATTTAACTGGACATACGATGTGCTGAAGTCAGGAGTGATGCATGGATACCTCAGAGCCCCTGGCACTGAAGAGTGGTTGATACCTCTCACTGAAAGGCTACAGTGTCTCTCCACAGATGTCAGTCATGCACTGCTCCTCGTTGCTCCAGAGTGTATCGCTGTGTTCAGAGACAGATCTGGAAGGTATGGATACTTTGATTCTCACTCGAGGACTGCTGCAGGCTTGCCCCATCCTAATGGAACTGCTGTCATGTTGACTTTCACCCACCTGAGTGACATGGCAGACAGAGTGCTCAAGATATTCTGGGATCGTGGTGCTGAGACCAGCTATGAATTCATGCCTGTATCATTTGAAACTGAGCAACAGTCTGTCCAACTGCCTTCACCATCTGTTTGTGAACAGGCGTCACAAGTGATTTCAGCACTACCAGAACCAGTAACAAATGTTGGAGCCAAAGTACATTTTGTTTGCACAGGAACTAAAAACCAAGATGCGGTAGAAAAAACAAATAAGCACAGGAGAAGGAAAGAAATGCGTAAAACATTTAAAATGTCAAAACAAGGTGGAGATCCTAACGACACGGCTGCACCTTATGTCACCAGAAAACATAAAAGACGGGTTTGTGAGAGACGGAGGTATGCTACTTCTTTGCAATACCAATCAAAGAAAAAAGAAGCATTTAAGGTGAAGTATAATAAAGATTGTCTCTTCCGAATACAAAGGCAACGGTCTCTAGTGAGAAGATACAGCACAGATTCTCTCTTTCAGACGAAGATGAAAGAATACAGTAAGAAGAGGTACAGCACAGATTCTCTCTTTCAGACAAAGAAGAAAGAATACAGCAAGAAGAGGTACAGCACAGATTCTCTCTTTCAGACAAAGAAGAAAGAATACATGAAGAGGTACAGCACAGATTCTCTCTTTCAGACGAAGATGAAAGAATACAATAAGAAGAGGTACAGCACAGATTCTCTCTTTCAGAAAAAGAAGAAAGAGTGCATTATGAAGAGATACAGGACCGATACTCTATTCCAGAGGAGAATGAAACAGTACATGATGACAAGATATGCAGGCGACTCAGAGTTCAGAGCACATCACATCCTGCGATGTACCCTGCGCAAGACCCAGAAATGTGCCAGTGATACTTCATATCACATTCTTCATCGATTGCGATGCGCACTGCGGATCAAAAATAAATATAAACCTTACATCCGTTCCAGCCAGCAAACACCCCAGCCTTTGGTTAACAAAGAGATGGAAAGTGCCATACATGCATTCCGGTGTAAGATTCAGCATGGCCCTACACATGTCTGCACAGTCTGTCACAGAGCCCTGTTTCCTAACCAAGTCAGGGTCTGTAATAGACCGAGATACGACAAAAACGTTCATGTTGCAGCGACTTGCCTAACCGGGAAGTATGTTCATGCTTGTGACAGTGCCTGCTCAGGTTCCTGCGTAGTTCCTGAAGAGAGAAGACAGGAGTGGATTTGCCACACTTGTGACAGCCATCTTAAGAGAGGACAGATGTCTTCAATTGCAGCAGCCAACAAACTGGAGTTGCCACCAATCCCTGCGGAATTGGATGAATTAAATGTCCTTGAGCGTCAACTAATTGCAAAAATTTTACCGTTTGCAAAAATAGTTTCATTACCCAAAGGACAGCAGAGAGCAGTACGTGGTGCCGTTGTGTGCGTGCCCTCCGAGATGGAGAACACTGTCAACTCTCTGCCAAGACCAAGAAGTGAGGCCCAGCTGCTGCAGGTGAAGCTGAAGAGACACGTTAAGTTTAAAGGATACCAGCAGTTCCAGACTGTGAATATGCGCAACGTGCTTGCAGCTTTATCGAAGCTGAAAGCAATGCATTCAGAATACAGGGATATCTCCATAAGAGAAGATGCTGTATTTGAAAGTGCCCTAGATGAGGAAGCGGATGTCTCTGAAAGTCACCTGGACGCGGAAGCTGATGCCTCTGAGAAGCAACAAGAAGTTGATGTTGCTGAGCAGAATGAGCAACAAGTTAGCGTTGAGGAAAAGGATGAGCTTCGACCCGGCCTCACATTAGACACGTGCATGCAGCCGCCTGACATCGGACAGGAGATCTTGTCGTACGGTGAGGGAATATTTAGTATCGCACCTGCACAAGGACAAAAGCCTGTTGGATTTTTCAAAATCCCAAAGTTGGAAGCCATGGCGTTCCCTGTTCAATTCCCCACTGGACAAAATTCCATTGATGAGGAAAGACAAATTTCAATATCTCCCAGTATGTATTTCAACGCCAGATTGTTCAGCGTGGACACGCGTTTTGCAAAAGATCAGAGTTATCTTTTCTTTGCACAGTTTGTAACGGAAACGCAACTGGCTAGAAACAGCATGTCTATCCAGTTGCGAAAAGGCAAACCCATCACAAGAGATGGCCGGAAAATTTCCAACAGACTGCTTCAAGACAACCGGGAGGTTGAAAGATTGGTACACAACAGAGACGCCACACGGTTCATGCAACCACTGAGAGGCACTCCATCGTATTGGGAGAAAACTTTGCGAGATCTACAGGCTATGATAAGACAGTTAGGAACCCCTACGTTTTTTTGCACGTTCAGCGCAGCCGAAATGAGATGGCCTGAAGTAATAACCGCAATCAAGGCCCAACAAGGTGAACACGTCGACTTTTCCGAGCTTGACTGGACGACAAAGTGTGAAATCCTCCGAAGCAACCCAGTCACTGTCATGCGCATGTTTGAGAAACGGGTGGATGCGCTAATGACTCATCTGCTTTTGTCGCCTGCCCAACCCATTGGTGAAGTTGAGGACTACTTTTACCGAGTGGAGTTTCAAGCTAGAGGAAGCCCACATATCCATCTTCTTGTTTGGATAAAGGACGCACCCGAGTTTGAAAATGACTCTGACAAGGATGTCTGTGACTTTATCGACCGCAACATAACCTGCCAGTTGCCCGACTCCTCGGCTGATCCTGAGCTTCACCGGATCGTCACAGAGGTCCAGCTTCACAGCAGGAACCACTCAAAGTCCTGTAAGAAGGGAAATGTATTGTGTCGATTTGGGTTCCCCAAACTACCGGTGTCTAGCACCGAGATCACTCGTCCGCGACCACAGCGTCCTGAAGAAGAGGATGACACGGACACTTCTCCATCTGAAAGCTGCATGTTTGCGTCTAAAACCACACAACCACAGCGTCCTGAAGAAGAGCATGAGAAAGCACAAAAACAAGCAGACAGAAAGAAGTTGAGACTGGAAGCTGCTCGAAAGGCAATGTGCGAAGCCAGGACCAAACTCAAGCCGGTGTGGGATCTATTGAATGACCCCCAAGCCTCCTTTGACAGCTTGTCAGAGCTACTGACAGCGTGTAAGATGTCCATCAAGGATTACAGTGACAACGTCGAAGCATTGTCCAATGCCAACGTGATTCTGCTGAAGCGTGATCCAAAGGAGGCTTGGGTGAATGGATACAATCCCGATTTATTAAGGGCATGGAACGCCAATATGGACATTCAGTTCGTTATTGACGCTTTTAGCTGCGTTATGTACATGCTTTCGTATATTTCCAAGCCGGAGCATGAAATGGGCGATTTACTTAAAAACGTAATCAAGAGTGTGCGCGAGACGAACGTTAGCGAGGAAGATGAGATGAAGCAGATAATGCAAGCATATTCCAAACACAGGCAAGTTAGCGCTCAGGAGTCTGTGGCACGAACATGCAGCTTACCGTTGAAGAAGTGTTCACGAAGTGTTGTGTTTCTACCGACGGATGATGACGCGCTAAAGATGAGTCTTCCCTTAAGCGTCCTACAAAATAAAAATCCCGATTCCGAGGATGTGTGGATGTCAGGGATGATCGATAAATACAGAGCAAGGCCTCTAGCGCGTGATTTTGAAAAGATGTGCCTGGCAGATTTTGCTTCGGAGTGCCGCATCGTGTACGGTCAGCAAACGGAAGGCAAAAATGTTCACCGGCTGCTGAACGGCATGGGTTTTTTTCAGAAAAGAACGTCTGGGAAGGCTGCAGTCATTAGATTTGCACGTTATTCTGAGGAAAAACAACCGGAAAAGTTTTACGGTAGATTACTGAAGCTTTATATGCCACATCGGAACAACGAACAGCTAAAACCTCCAGGATTTCCAACATACGAGACGTTTTACAAAGGTGCAAAGGTGGAACTACCTACTCACCCTGGTTTGCTGATCCCTGTCTGTGCCATAGTTCAAGCACACAAGGAGAAGTTTGAAAAACACAGCGAAGAGTTGGACAAGGCATTCGATCAGCTGCAAGAGCAAGGACCGTCTGAGAACGCATGGAACGCTTTTGCACCTGAAGTAGAAGTGGATCGCTTGGAGTGCATTGCTGAACGACAAGACATCATTCCGGATGATGAGGACGTACAAGATGATGTCCCAGAATTCCAGGTTCTTGAACATGGAGACGGGGTCGTGCCACAAATAGAGGCACCGCAGATGAGCGTCGAATTCGTCAGGAGGTTGTTTAGGAGTCTAAACGAGACGCAGGCAGCCATATTCTACACGGTCTGCCAGTGGTGTCAGAAGCGTGTCTGGGGTCATAATCCAGAACAGTTTTTCTACTTCGTGTCAGGTGGTGCTGGATGTGGCAAATCACACGTCATCAAGTGCATATACACGGAAGCGACCAAGATTCTGCGTCAACTGCCTCGACTGCGGGAGGAAGGAGATCTGTCCGTGCCTACGGTGCTCTTGAGTGCGTTTACCGGAACCGCGAGCTTCAATATTAATGGAAAAACGTTACATTCGATTTTAAAACTTCCAAGGAATCTGAAGCCACCGTATCAAGGACTTGGAAATGCCCTAGATGAACTACGAGCAACACTACGCGACGTCGAGATTCTTATCATCGATGAAGTGTCCATGATTTCGAAGGATCTTTTTGCCTACATAAACTGGAGATGTCAACAAATCAAAGGCAGCAAGAAACCTTTCGGGGGAATCTCTGTCCTCGCCGTGGGAGACTTTTATCAACTGCCACCTCTGGGCAAAGCCAAACCACTCTGCGTGTACGAAGACGATGTTTTGGACTTCTGGAAAGACCATTTCCAAATGGTTACTCTCTCCGAGATCATGCGTCAGAAAGAAGACTTGGCTTTTGCCCAACTTTTAAACCGCATACGGGTGAAGCAGAAGACCGACGAGCTTGCCGAAGAAGATCGAGCTTTGTTGCTCCAGGCTGTGAAGGACCCCAAAGACTGCCCGTGTGATGCACTGCACGTATTTGCCACCAACAAGGAAGTCCACAGACACAACACTGAAACAATCCATGCTCTTCACACTGACATCATTACCATCGATGCCGAAGACTACAGGAAAGACCCAAGAACGGGAGGGATGAAGAGACAAACGAAGCCCGTCACCGGTAAAAAGGACGACTTGCCTGACACCATACAAATTGCGTTGGGAGCACGCATAATGTTGACTAGGAATTTGGATGTCGAGGACGGGTTATGCAATGGGTGCTTTGGGAAGATTTCTCGTATTGTCAATAAGACAAAAGATGGAATCGACACCGTACACATGCTAGGGCTTCAGCTCGACAATCCACATGCAGGCAAGAAACACCGCAAAAGGGTGCAAGGTGAAGAAGACGACTTTGTGTACATCGAGAGATCCGAAGAAAGTCTAAGGAAAGGAGCGGTTCGTCGACAATTCCCCATCAAGTTGGCCTACGCCTGCACAGCTCACAAAGTCCAAGGCATGACGTTGGAGAATGCCGTGGTTTCACTGAAGAAGATTTTCGAGCCGGGAATGGCCTACGTTGCCCTCAGCAGAACGACCTCGCTTCGTGGACTACACATCACGGACTTCAGCGAAAAGAAGATCTATGCCGATGCTACAGTCACAGCATCGTTGGGAAAGATGACAAGAGCATCATTCGAAGGAATCATGCCGCTTTTACAGCAGGTGAGGGAAACCAAATTGGATCAAACACTTAAAATAATTCATCACAACACAGAAGGACTGTCATCCCACATCGAAGATATCCGATGCCATCACGAACTGCTTCTGTCGGATATTCTTTGCATGACGGAAACTCACCTGACCGGGTCACTCATATCACCCCACGTCCAATTGGAAGGGTACAACGCATTTATGCGAAACAGACATGCCTCCTACTCGACACACCAAGAAATTGCAAAGAAAGCTGGTGGTGGAGTCGCAATCTATTGCAAAGAGCATATTTCAGCTCAGGCTAGGCAGTTTGTGCAAAATGTGACCGATCTGGAGTATGTCGTCATCAAAGTGGATAGCCCGATCAAAGCAACAATCGCTGCTGTGTACAGGCCGCCACACTACGGATTTGAAGAGTTCTCGAAAAACTTGAAGAGTCTGCTGGATTATTTGGACATGGTGGACGAACATCCCACAGTAATCTGTGGAGATTTTAATGAGGATCTCCTCTGCGCAGGGAAAAAAACTGTTCTGGAATTGTTTCAGTCTAAAGGATACACGCAACTGATCACCACAGCAACAACCAAAAAGAACACCCTATTGGATCATATTTACGTCTCTCGTCCGGATTTGTGCCTTCAGGCAGGTGTCTTGCATACCTATCATAGCTATCACAATCCCGTGTACTGTGTTTTGCGTTAATTCGTCTTTTTTTGGTGGACCGATATTGTTGTGTTTGGTGGTAGGTTAGTATGCCATACGGAACCGTTTGCCACTGAAACTGCTTTATAACGCACCAGTGGGGCTTCTACGGCCTTATTCAAACGGGTTGGCGCGTATGGTCGGGTTGTTATGCCATACGGAACCGTTGCCAATGGACCTGGATACGTGACATCAGCGGATCTTCGAAAGCCTTCATCAAACGGGTTGGCGCGTATGGTCGTGTTGCGGTTAGATTGTGGCGTTAGAGATTGTGGTTAGGAGATTGTGGTTAGGTCATGCCAAGGGTTTATACCACTGAGCTACGAAGGAGCAACCTCAGCAGCAGCAGGAAGGACGGAGGAGGAGTGTGACAGCTCCAGGGAGGACACAGACAGTCAGAGCAACAGTGGCAGTAAGTTATAAAAGACAAGGGAAAGAGAGAAGTAGCCACCATTGTAATGTTTGATTTTGACCTTATAACATACATTGTAATTTCAATTGATGTTCAATCTACACAATTTGTGACAATCTGTGCGGGATATGCAGTCCCCTGCTATTCTATGATTGATATGTACTCTTCTGTAAAGTTGCAGGAAGAATTGGGAGACCATAGCAGTCCTGTCTGTGTGCAATATACCTTCTAAAGCTAAGTGTTAAAAGATTTTGCTTCAGTCTGTGTACTACTGCTTTTCATAACTGCGTTTGAATGGAAATGTTATATTTGAATCTCTAATTTTGATTTTTATGTTTTTTAGGAACCAGCCAAATGAAGTGAGATTGTCTGAGAAGATCACGTGTGCTACATCAATGACGATGACGAGCTGGATACCAGATTATGTGCCAATTTCTTTCCGTAAGTTTTATTTCTGAGTTTTTTTTGTTTTGTTTATTACTACGGGTGTTTTAGTGATCCCATTGTTCATTTATTCATTTCTTTACCAGAGAACAGGTCCAAATATCTATGGCATTGAAGACAACTCTGAAGAATGAAGAAGCAGAGGAAGAAGCACACTGAGGTCAATACTACTGATAAGGTGTAGTATTTCAGTGCATTTTATTATACAATGGTTTCAGGCGTTTTCCCTGGTCAAAAAATGTCTTCGTTGGTGGCCAACAGACACTGTTGTCCTATCTTGCTCTCTTATTAAAAAAAAGATTTTAGCACTGGATTTCATAATTTTGTTATATAATCATATTGCTATTAAAAAGTTAAACTAAAAATAATTGCATCAAAAGGTTTAAGTGACCACAAGAGATTGTGGTTAGGTCTCAGCAGCAGGAGGGAGGTAGAGGTCAGTAAGCTGGGCTGAGTTGAGTGGGGGACGGAGGGGGGTGATTTTGGGACGCAAGAGTCAATGTCTTCATGTTTGTGGTTAGGAGATTGTGGTTAGGTCATGCCAAGGGTTTATACCACTGAGCTACGAAGGAGCAACCTCAGCAGTAGCAGGAAGGACCGAGGAGGAGTGTGACAGCTCCAGGGAGGACACAGACAGTCAGAGCAACAGTGGCAGTAAGTTATAAAAGACAAGGGAAAGAGAGAAGTAGCCACCATTGTAATGTTTGATTTTGACCTTATAACATACATTGTAATTTCAATTGATGTTCAATCTACACAATTTGTGACAATCTGTGCGGGATATGCAGTCCCCTGCTATTCTATGATTGATATGTACTCTTCTGTAAAGTTGCAGGAAGGATTGGGAGACCATAGCAGTCCTGTCTGTGTGCAATATACCTTCTAAAGCTAAGTGTTAAAAGATTTTGCTTCAGTCTGTGTACTACTGCTTTTCATAACTGCGTTTGAATGGAAATGTTATATTTGAATCTCTAATTTTGATTTTTATGTTTTTTAGGAACCAGCCAAATGAAGTGAGATTGCCTGAGAAGATCACGTGTGCTACATCAATGACGATGACGAGCTGGATACCAGATTATGTGCCAATTTCTTTCCGTAAGTTTTATTTCTGAGTTTTTTTTGTTTTGTTTATTACTACGGGTGTTTTAGTGATCCCATTGTTCATTTATTCATTTCTTTACCAGAGAACAGGTCCAAATATCTATGGCATTGAAGACAACTCTGAAGAATGAAGAAGCAGAGGAAGAAGCACACTGAGGTCAATACTACTGATAAGGTGTAGTATTTCAGTGCATTTTATTATACAATGGTTTCAGGCGTTTTCCCTGGTCAAAAAATGTCTTCGTTGGTGGCCAACAGACACTGTTGTCCTATCTTGCTCTCTTATTAAAAAAAAGATTTTAGCACTGGATTTCATAATTTTGTTATATAATCATATTGCTATTAAAAAGTTAAACTAAAAATAATTGCATCAAAAGGTTTAAGTGACCACAAGAGATTGTGGTTAGGTCTCAGCAGCAGGAGGGAGGTAGAGGTCAGTAAGCTGGGCTGAGTTGAGTGGGGGACGGAGGGGGGTGATTTGGGAGGCAAGAGTCAATGTCTTCATGTTTTGTCTTTTACGCCTGTGTTATGGAAATCATCATTATGAACAGCAGCTACGCTAATTATTTTCCCTTTGCTTTTCTGCTGTTATCTCGGGACGCGAGTCCCGAGAAAATGGCGTTCGTCAGCTCCAGTTTGTATCCAGCCTCTCACGGAGACTTCAGATGCTCCAATCACAAAGCCTATGAAGTGACGACTCAACACGGGCGATATGGACTCTCTATGGTGGACGGCACTGATCCTCAACAACTCGTCTTAAAGACCGGCGTGCATACTTGGACTTCCAAAAAATACTCTAAATGTTCCGATCCAATCTGACTTGTAATGCTGCCCGAATCATGCACTGTTCCTTCGTTGGCCAGAGGAGAACTGGCCCCCCGACTGAGTCTGGTTTCTCCCAAGGTTTTTTTCTCCGTTCTGTCACCTGATGGAGTTTTGGTTCCTTGCCACTGTTGCCTTGGCTTTTGGCTTGCTTAGTTGGGGACATTTAACATTTAATATTCAATAATATTATTGATCTGCCTTACTTAAGGTGGACGTTGACGCAATTTCTTTTAGAAACAAACTTTGTTATATTGTTATATTGTTTTTGTTATATTGTTTTCATGTTATCACTGTGAAGCGCTTTGATACAATCTGTATTGTAAAAAGCGCTATATAAATAAAGGTGACATGACTTGACTTGACTTAAGTAATAGTCTTAATTTTCTAACATATAGCTAACAATTGAATAAAATTAACAGCTAGCTAACAACAATGTGCTTTATGATTTTAATCACTCCAGTATGAACTTTTTGACAATGTTATTTATTTTAAAAACTGCTGTTCAATGTTTATACATGTTAGTTCACTGTATTTACTAATGTTAACACTTACAACTTTAGATTTGAACAATGTACCGTATTAGTAAATGTAAAAATCACTAACAAAGATTAATAAATGCTAAAAAAGTTAAATGCAGGAAAAACCATGGGTTTTGTTCAAAGATGTATGATTTGATGTAAAAACTAAAGCCTTACATCTGACCCATCAACTATGCTGCTCAATAAGTCTTGGAGAATCTGAACAATTCAAATAAATGTACTAACATTAGCATATATGTTTTACCTCCTCTGCCCTCAGGATATCCAGGGAGACAGATGCGTGCCATTCAGCATAGAAACATCAGAGACAGAGATCACCTGAGCGCAGAGGGAAACCAGCTTCTCCTGAGCAAGCCTGAGAGACGTTCTGCGGGTGGAACTCCAAAGTTGAAACCAAATGTCTTTTTAAAGGCAACAACGGCTCTTTTCAGAGCTACCCACTCATTCAAATAAAGAGCATTTTTACAAATGTATTCACAACAAAATTCTCAGCACTATAGGCTAAACTAGTACATAATAAAAAATAAAAAAAAGATTTTTATAATCTTAGGGGTAATGCTGTATATCTAATAACTAGTAAAACACTAATCCATTTGCTGGGTGAAATTTGACATAACAGGCATTTAAAAAAAATCTTTTTTAAATAAACATTTGGTTAATTGGCACACACTGTGTTTTTGTCTTTATTGAATGTTATTGAAAGTTAGTCAGTGTCACATTATGAATATTTTCTTGTGAACTTCAGAGAAGATCCAGGTATATTCACAGATGGTTCTTTAAGATGGTAAGTGGCCGGGTCATTTAAAAGCTTACATTTAAATGAGCTTTATATACTCAACATTTATCAAATCAAGACCGCTACATGTACAGGATATCAACGGTCAGTTAATGTTTGATGCTTTGAAAAGAATAACATGTATTCATATTCAGACACACTTGTGTCTTCACACAGCTTCACTGAACAACATCCAAATGGCATTTTAATTCAGAAGTGTGCATAATTGGAGGGATATTGATATATTTAGACGATCATAAATTTGTATTCCAATAAATTTTGTGACCTGATGACCATTAGTGGCGTCAAGCGATCGCTGCACAAGCTCATGAAAATGATGACCAGATGGTGTACTATGGAATTGTAACATTTTCTCATTTCTTAATTCTAAACTTTAAAATAGACTTCTTTTTTATTTATTTCAACTACAAATGAAATTGAAAATGAAATATAATCTATCAGTTAAGTATTAATGTGCAGTTAAGTATTAATGTAATAATGTATACATATACTAGTGCATCTAATTTAAAACAATGATAGGAAATCTTGTTATGACTTTATAATAAATAAATACAATTGGAACTTAGTTAAAAATATATCAAAATATATATAGTGTTCACTCAAAACACCATAGCGACCGTTTAGAGCCACCTAGAAGCAACATTTACAAGCCATATTTCAGTTCCAGAAAATAGTACAAACATGGAGTTTGGCTTTTTTGACTCAGACTGTCAACTAGTCTTTAAATATCATCCCATAAACTGTAAAAGCACACCATAGCAACCATATAAGGTTCCTTAGTAACCATACAAACACATGAATAAGCCATATCTCAGCACCAGAAGATCGTACAGACATGGTTGTTGGCCCGTATGCAATCATGTACAACCGGGTGGTGTTTTTTGCCACTGCAAGCACATACCAGTAGATCTCATTAAACTAAAAATTCAACCCAATGTACACTTTCTAGATTTCTGGAAATCGTAATGTTATTATTTATTTATTTTGAACATTGTTATTGTACATATATTCACAGATGGTACTTTAAGATAGTAGGAGGGTCATTTAAACGCTTAAAATAAACCGTATTACCATATAGTCAGAAATCATAAACATTAGTTCACAAGCAATCAGTTGGCATGGATGTGCGTTAATAGTTCATTGATTTATCTGAAGTGCAGTTGGGTGGGGCCTGTAGAATCCGCAACAGCCAATCAAACATGCAGCACTCATCATAAATACTGGCGGTCAATCGCAGTTCCCGCACTCTTCTTTGAGATGGCACCACCACGAGTTTGGATCGTCGGTAGCTCTATCATTCGCAGGTTGCATTCTTACATATGTGAGCAGCGCCTCGATGATAACCTTGATCTGCGCTGTGAGATCACCTGGGATGGCAGGGGAGGTAGACTCTGGGAGCAGCTGCTTCCAGCTCTGCGTTCTCTTCGGGACAGAGCTCCGGCTCCGGACATCCTGATTATTCACCTGGGTGGGAACAGTTTGTGTCGCGGCGGCCGCGATCGTCTGAGTTTCCTTCGGGAAATTAAGCGTGACCTGGCCACATGCTTCATGATGTTTCCCAGTACCAGGCTGGTCTTTTCCCACATTCTGCCTCGTCTGAATTGGAGAGGTCAGAGAGGCAGGACTGGCTACGGTGTGGAAAAGGGCCGGCGGTGGATAAACTCGAAGGTGGCTGGCTTTTTGGCAGGGAGACAGATGTGCTGCATTCGCCACAGAAACATCTGCCTCTCCCATCTGTGCAGAGACGGAGTCCACCTGAACCCAGAGGGAAATCAGCTTCTGTTGGGCAACCTCAGAGAAGCTCTGCGGGGGGAACTCCGAAGCTGATGTCCTTGTCTACCTCCTCTGCCATCACAGGAAACAACGGCTCTTTTAAGAGCCACCCACTCATTCAAATAAAGAGCATTTTTACAAATGTGTTAAATTATTTGTTCTTCACATTACTTGAGGTCAGGTGGCGGATACTTGTTATAAAAT